GTTTTTATTAGGTGACCACGTAGTTCATGAGTTAGACAATACTCATGTAAAGCATCTCGTCATAAGCCCGTAGGCACACATATCATATCATATGTTCATTGATGCTATACACAATCATCTCAATTGCACATCAATACATTCTTCACATAGCTCATTCATCAATGCACGTTGAAAATAGTAAACTCATACATATCCACATTATCAATTCTCATCATATAAGCTTATGCTCATTCATAGCTCATTTATCAATCTATCACAAATCCACGTATCCGGGCCGCTTCATGACCCAATACCATGCCCATACTAAAATATATATTAGGTTAAGAATTACTCACTACTCGATTACTCTGCTAAACCCTTCTGCTTTGATGATTCTCCGGCATGCTCCTTTCCTTTAATAAATCATATAAACATGTTTAACACACGAGCAATTAATTATGGAACAACTTAATAAAAAGAACATATAGTCTATAAACACTTAATCCTTCCAATTAATCACCCTTCTCGGAACACTTGTATCTTATTCCTTATACTTAACTTCGTATCACTTTAGGTTTCCCCATTTTTTGTCTTAATCAAGATTAAGAATACACACATGCAACCCCACTACTAATATACATATATTAATCTTTTCCCCACCTCACATAATTATCCAAACGTTTGACTTCTCCTGTTCCATCCATATATATGCAAGCAACTTACATCCACTATGGGTTTTCACAATACTTGCATGTATAAACAATGATAATATAGAGAGCTATATATATATATATACATATCTATGTATATATATATATACACATATGTATTTATATATCCCTACTTGAGCATTTCCAAACCCACGATCAATGTTTATAATCCATAACCAGGTAGGCAACTACAATCCCCATCCCACACATGATTGCTTGGGTGCGAAGTCCCCCGTATATCAGCATGCAGAGTAATGACTAATTTACCCATGTATCACTTCAGCTAGAACAAGGCAAATTCTTAATTGGAATCATGCATTCCTTAGGCCACTACCACATATACATCAACTTCTTTAACTAAGGATAGCTAGGCTCTCATCAGCTTCCACGTTACCTTATATGCCCACACTCTTGCTGCTAACCCCTTCACCCAGACTTCTTCCCTCTAAGCATGACAGTGGTGATGACAAGAAAAGAGTTGAGCAATAGAGGCACTATGAAGTTGTGGATGGCTCTATCTCTTCGGCTCCTAGGGGATTCATTTCTCTCATCCCATTTATTTTCCCAGACCAAAGAAACCCCCTCACCACCCACGTGTTCTCTACTGCTCGTGTGTGGGAAATAGAAACTCATTTATAGTGACACACCAAAAACCAGCCACTCAAATATTCATTGACCTTGTAGGATTCGGTTCTCTTGCTCCACCGCCAAGAGTGAAAGGTTGTGGCTAATTTGGATGGGTTTGGAATTATAGAATTTATCATGTTAAATTAACTATATGAAGATGTGCTCTACATGTTTTAAACTCATCTCATTAACCCTATGAACGAATAGAAACTGTGACCAACACTTGATTTGTAACCTACAAGATTTACGTATTAAGAGATTCGTAAGGGTTGGATATTACAATTCCTCCCCCGTAAATAAATTTCGTCCCCGAAATTTACCTTGAAACAAGTAGGGGTATTGATTCTTCATGTTTTCCTCTGTTTCCCACGTAGCTTCCTCCCTCGAGTGGTTTCTCCAGATTACTTTGACCATTGGTATACTACGGTTTCGGAGTAGCTTGTGTTTTCGATCGACAATCTCCATTGGTTCCTCTATATAGCTTAAATCTTCTCGTATCTCAACCTGTTCAGGTTCTAGCACATGGAAGGGGTTTAATCGGGACCTCCGGAGTACACTTACATGAAAGACGTTGTGTACTTGAGCCAATATACCTAGGGCTTAGCTTACCCTTCTCTCGAAATGGAAAGATTCCTCTCCACGGTGACACTTTCAGAAACACCTTGTCACCCACATTAAACTCCATTTCTCGTCGATGAGCATCAACATAGCTTTTCTGTCGATCTTGGGTAGCTTTCAACCGATTTCGAATTACTTTAATTTTATCCACTGTAGCTTGCACTATTTCCGGCCCTTCAAGTTGTCTCAAGCCCTCTTCATCCCAACAAACCGGAGATCTACATTTCGCCCATACAATTCTTCATATGGTGTCATCCCAAGGCTACTATGATATTGGTTGTTGTATGCAAATTCTATCAATGGTAGATGTTCATCCCATGACACAAGCCCTTAACATTTCCTCCAGGGTGAGTATGGTACGCTCAGATTGCCCATCCGTTTGAGGATTAAAGGCAGTAGAAAAGTTAAATTGAGTACCCAAAGCATCTTGTAGGATTCGCCAGAACCGCGAGGCAAACCTCTGATCTCGGTCAGATACTATAGATATAGGTACCCCATGCAATCGTACGATCTCTTCTATATACCTTTTCGCCAGATGCTCCAAGGAACACCCCCATCTTATTGGAATAAAATGAGCCGACTTGGTTAGTCGATCCACAATCACCCAAATGGAATCATTCTTCTTTTGAGTTCTAGGCAAACCGTAGACAAAATCCATAGTAACTTTTTCCCACTTCCATTATGGAATGGGTAATGGTTGTAACTTCCCTGCAGGTGCTTGGTGTTCAGCTTTCACTCGTTGACATACTAGACATGTCAACACATACTCTGCCACTTCCTTCTTCATTCCTGGCCGCCAATAATGTGATCTACATGAACGGTACATTTTTCTTGCACCAGGATGCATCACATAAGGAGAGGAGTGAGCTTCTTCCAAGATCTCTTTACGCAATTCATCCACATAGCAACACATAAGCTGCCATTCAATGAAAGGACTTCATTCTGGAATTCAAACTTTCCATCCTTCCCATTTTTAATCTCCTCAATTATCTTTTTAAGAAAATGATCACCATTTTGAGCTTGTTGAATCCTTTCTCGTAAGATTGACCATACTTATAAAGTAGCTAATAAAACCCCATCATTATCCATACTAAGATTTGCATTCATTGCCCGTAAGGCTAGCATTTCTCGAGTGGGATTTAATGTTGTCTGCGAATCCGAGTGTTTTGATTTCCGGCTTAAAGCATCAGCTACAACATTGGCTTTGCCCGGATGGTACTCAATAGTACAGTCATAGTCTTTAAGCAATTCCATCCACCTTATTTGCCTTAGATTCTACTCTTTTTGCTCCATTAGGTACTTCAAACTCTTGTGGTCGGTGAAGATTTGGAAAGTTTCACCATACAAGTAGTCTCTCCAAATCTTTAGAGCAAAGACCACTGCCGCAAATTCTAAGTCATGGGTAGGGTAGGATTTTTCATATGGTCGCAGTTGTCTTGAGGCATAAAAAATCACCTTCCCATTTTGCATTAGAACACACCCCCAAGCCTTGATGCGAGGCATCACTGTAAACCACAAAACCACCTGTCCCGACTGGTAGTGCCAAGACAGGTGCAGTTGTGAGTTTCGTCTTTAACTCCTCAAAACTGGCTTGGCATTCAGAATTCCACACATATGGATGATCTTTCCTCAACAATTTTGTCAATGGCGAGGCAATGATATAAAATACCTCGATGAACCTTCTGTAATAACCTGCCATTCCCAAGAAACTTCGTAACTAGGGTACATTCCTCAGTGGTTACCACTTCACCACGGCTTCCACCTTCTTTGGATCAACTTCAATTCCCCTCCAAGAAACAACATGTCCTAGAAATATAACTTGATCCATCCAAAAGTCACACTTGCTAAATTTTGCATACAACTACTTCTCCCTCAAGATTTGAAGGACTATTCTCTAATGCTCCCTATGCTCTTCTTCACTTCGAGAGTACACCAAGATATCGTATATGAAAACGATCACAAACTTATCTAGGTATTCTTGGAAGACGTTGTTCATCAACGCCATAACAGCAGCTGGAGCATTTGTTAGTCCAAATGGCATAACAAGGAATTCGTAATGTCCATACCTCGTACGAAAACCCGTTTTAGGTATGGCTTCCTCTGCCACCTTTAATTGATGATATCCCGACCTTAGGTCAATTTTGGAGAAGACTTTTGACCCTTGCAATTGGCCGAATAAATCATCGATACGGGGCAATGGATATTTATTCTTCACAGTCACCTTGTTAATCCTTCGATAATCGATGCATAACCGTAAGGTTCCATCCTTCTTCTTCACAAAGAGTACGGGAGCACCCCACGGTGACACACTTGGTCTTATGAATCCCTTATCTAGCAACTCTTGAAGTTGCTCTTTCAACTCCTTCAAATCCACAGGAGCCATCCTATACGGTGGTATAGAAATAGGTGCGGTGCCCGGTAGCAATTCGATAGTGAATTCCACCTCTCGATCAGAAGGTAGTCCTGATAGGTCGGATGGGAACACATCCAGGAATTCATTCACTACTTCTACATCTTTTGGATTGTTCTCTTCTTTAACCTCTACTACATGGTCAAGGAAGGCCACACACCCCTCATTAATAAAGCTCAGCACCTTGGAAGCATATATTAGGCAACTAGGTACTGATTGCCTAATTCCACTAAAGACAACACTTCCTTGCTCGGGTACCTCAAATACCACTTCTTTTGTGTGACAATTTATTACAGCCCTATGCCGACTTAACCAATCCATTCCTAGTAACACATCAAATTCATCAATTGGAAGTAGCATCAAGTCAGCAAGCAACGTCACTCTAGATACAATCATAGGACAATCAACATAAACATGATTGACAACAATAGTATCACCAACGGGGGTTTTCACAAATATGTTGCTAGGCAAAAGTTCAGGTCGAGCATGCATATGTTGTGAAAATTTATGAGACACGAATGAGTGAGTAGACCCAGGATCAATTAAGGCATAAACGGGTTTATCATGGATGAGAACCATACCGGTAACGACTTCTGGAGATGCATTTGCCTCTGTTCTTGTCATAGCAAATGCTCGTGGCTGTATGTCAGCTCTGCTCATTTGACCAACTGTATGCCCTCGGACCTCAGAATCACGTCCTCGTCCCTTGCTAGATCCACCTCTAAAATTTCCCCTTGAGAAGTTACTGGCCGCTCGGGATCCCTGCATAGTAGTTCAGGACCGAACCGACACTCTATCTTCTCAAATTGGACAATCTTTAATGAGATGCCCAAAACCACCACATTTGAAACAAGCATCCGTCACGATCCGACACTCTCCCTGGTGCATCCTTCCACAATGTTGACATTCAGGTGGTGAAGGTGCATTCATCTGGGTTTGGTAAGCAGGTGCCCTACGGAAACTTACTCAAGGGCGCTGAGTAAAGTTCCCCTTACTAGGACCCCAAATAGAAACTTGACTTTGACCTGCTGAGGATGACCCCTTCCACTTCCGTTTCCTATCTTCGATCCCGTAACTTTGAGTACGAGGCTTGTTCTCATTTAAAATCATTTCAGCCCTTATGGCGGCGGCCTTCAGTTTGCCATAACCATCGGTATAAGGGGTGGGCATTCGGTCGGTTCAGTTTTGACTTAACCGAAATTATGAATATCGGGTCCCCGAATTCTCCCAAACCTCAAACCGAATTCGAACTGAATTATAATTTGGTTCGGTCGGTTTAAACCGAACTATTATTCGGTTCAGTTCGGTTTTTCACTCAAAACCGAATTTGTGAAGCTACTTGTATTTTCTCACTTTTAAATTATTTTTCACCCCTAATATAAACAATAAATATCAATTATATGCATCTTCAATGATAAAACCAAGCTTTTCAACACATAAGTCATAAAACATTTCAAATATTTAAGTCTAAAAACAACTACAAACATAAAAATCCACCATTTGGAGCTTGCAATTATAGTATTTCGGTTTTTAGGTCGGAAATTCGGTTCGGTTGAAAGAAACCTGATTTCCGAACTATCCATATTTTCGTTCCGAATTCCGAACAGAATAGCATTAATTTGGTTTCGGTTTAGTTTAATTTGGTTTCGGTTCAAGTTTACCGAACCGTTTGCCCACCCTTAATCCGTATCCGACATGGATACCATTTCCCTGAACTCTTTACGGAGCCCCCTCTCAAATCGAAGGCACTTATCTTATTCAGTTGGGACCATATCCATGGCAAATGTCATCAAACGATGAAAGGTCACCTCATATTCATCCACCGTCTAGCCTTCATTTTGCTTCAGCATTAAGAACTCAACCTTCTTCTGATCTTGGTAGACAATTGGCACATATCGCTCCTTGAACAGTCGGAGAAAATCGTTCCACGTGAGTTGAACGGTGTTATCCACAACCCCGGGTACGATTAACCACCAATCATAAGCATCTTTTTCGAGGAGGGCTACAACATAATCAAACTTGACGTCATCAGGATACCCAATTTGATTGAGAATGCACTCGGTCTTTTTCAACCAATCTACAGCCACTTTGGGATCTATGGAACCCTTAAATGCCTCAGCACCCATCTTCCACACCTCAGTATAATCCCTTTTGTAGGGAACTACCTGAGGTAGGTTATTAGCCTGAGGCTCATCTTGATTTTCAGGAAGAGGCTGATTTGAACCTGCTACTTGAGGTGGCGGGGAACACTCTCTTCCTCCTTGACTGAACTCCACATGAAAATAACAAAGAGAGCAAAATCAGAAACAAAATTCTTAAATACACTTTCAACTTAAAATCCATTATAAAACCATTCAAAACTTCATTAAAATCACTTTAATCCCGTGGGATCATATCCCAGCTCTGATACCACAATTTGTAACACCCTACTACTTCTTGTAACATCCTACTACTTATTGTAACATCCTACTACTTCTTCTCGTACTATTGGAAACATCATCACATTATATACTCATTAAACCTTAGGTTTTAACTTCACATTCAGACCTGGACATAACACTAGCATACGGGTTACATCACCTGCTTAGGAAATTTAAGCTAGTTTTCCTAAAACATCCAAAAGCAGAACACCGAACGGTGCAAAGTTTGAGTTTAAAACAAAGTGTAAACCCAACATAGTAGTTTAACATTCAGTGGGTACACAAGCTTAAAAGCGTTAAAACATTTGGTTCGACTTCAAAAGTGAAAACATGTGGAGAGTTTAGTTCCGCCGCACACCTTTCAGCCATCCGACTAACTTCACTGGTTCGACCGAGGCTTCTGCTGTTTCTCTGTCTCTGAAAGGGAAAAATATTGGCAGGGTGAGATGCCACTCAATGAGTAATTAATAACCCAATATATACTCCAGTTGCGCACGGTGATCAGGTACACCAAGGGCTTAAGCTCACTTAACGAATCTAGTAGTTTAAATGGTACTCTACCCAACTATGTATGCAATGTTCATTAACCAATTTAAGCGGTTCTCATATCATACACGCTTACCCTTGAGTTACTCATATCACACCCTATTCCAGGTAGAAACATTTACTAACACATCATTTTGGTATCACCATATAATCAACAACATATGGAGGCATGTAACAACTACACAATCTCATGATAAATCATTGCATGAACACATCACAATAAAGCCTTCACATAAATACTTCAATCACATGAACAATCTATTGAACACATCGTAGGAAACATCACTTAGCCACATCACAGGAAATCTTTGTACCAAGGCTCAAACACAAGCATAGTTAGCTATATTATGTACATTTTACTTTTAATGCCAAGTTATGCACTCCCCGGGATCTCGTAAACTCGTAATCTCGTGATCTCGTAGGTAAAGTGCCAAATCTCATAAACTCGAGGGCACAAAGTGCCATATCTCATGAACTCGTAAACTCGTGGGCATGAAGTGCCATATTTTGTTAACTCGTAGCCAGGTCTGACGATACTCCTTATAGGGAGTTCTCGTATAACTCTTTTCTTCTCTTTTTCTTTTCATGAGTGCATAACAAGGCAACATTATGTTTTTATTAGGTGACCACGTAGTTCATGGGTTAGACAATACTCATGTAAAGCATCTCGTCATAAGCCTGTAGGCACACATATCATATCATATCATATGCTCATTGATGCTATACACAATCATCTCAATTGCACATCAATACATTCTTCACATAGCTCATTCATCAATGCACGTTGAAAATAGCAAACTCATACATATCCACATTATCAATTCTCATCATATAAGCTTATACTCATTCATAGCTCATTTATCGATCTATCACAAATCCAGGTATTCGGGCCGCTTCATGACCCGAATACCATGCCCATAGTAAAATATATATTAGGTTAAGAATTACTCACTACTCGATTACTCTGCTAAATCCTTCTGCTTTGATGATTCTCATGCATGCTCCTTTCCTTTAATAAATCATATAAACATGTTTAACACACGAGCAATTAATTATGGAACAACTTAATAAAAAGAACATATAGTCTATAAACACTTAATCCTTCCAATTAATCACCCTTCTCGAAACACTTGTATCTTATTCCTTATACTTAACTTCATATCACTTTAGGTTTCCCCATTTTTTTGTCTTAATCAAGATTAAGAATACACACATGCAACCCACTACTAATATACATATATTAATCTTTTCCATACCTCACATAATTATCCAAATGTTTGACTTCTTCTATTCCATCCATATATATGCAAGCAACTTACATCCACTATGGGTTTTCACAATACTTGCATGTATAAACAATGATAATACAGAGAGCTATATACATACTCAGGCCACCTATGTTTATATATATATCCCTACTTGAGCATTTCCAAACCCACGATCAATGTTTATAATCCATAACCAGGTAGGCAACTACAATCCTCATCCTACGCATGATTGCTTGGGTTCGAAGTACCCAGTATATCAGCATGCAGAGTAATGACTAATTTAGCCATGTATCACTTCAGCTAGAACAAGGCAAATTCTTAATTGGAATCATGCATTCCTTCAGCCACTATCACATATACATCAACTTCTTTAACTAAGGCCCCGTTTAGTATCATTTTGTTGCTGTTGTGGTTGCAGTGGTGTTTTGTAAACAGATGTACAACCACAACAGGAAAAAAACAGAAAACACAAACCTGTTTAGTTGATAAATCTGAAAAATCATGAAAGCTGACAACAAGAAACAAAAACGCGTTTAGTTACTACTATAAGAACTAAAAACCAGAAAAAGAAATATGTCCGCAATCGAAATTAACATAATACATTTAATAAACCACAAAACAAAGAACATAGCAATCAATCGAAATTCACAAAGAACATAGCAATCAATCCAAATTCACAAATAACTAGTCTAGCAATCACTACATACATACCATAATTCAAGAACATATTAAGAAGCAACAATATTAACATAATACATTTAATAAATGGTTTGTTTTACCTGCTGCGGGGAGATGATCGGTGGCCGGCGGAGGCGCGCGGCTGGTCGGCGGCCGGCGGAGGCTAGTCGGCGCTGGGCTGGGCGGAGGCGCGCGGCTGGCGGCGCTGAGCTGGGAGGAGGCGCGCGGCTGGGCTGGGCGGAGGCGAGCGGCTGGCTGCGCGGGCCGGAGGCGGAGGCGCCGCTGGCCGGAGTCGGACGTTCTTGCGGAGAAGAAGAAGCTTGGGCGGCTGATGAGTCTCGACAAAGAAGATGGAAAATGGTAAAAGGGCGGCTGAAGTAGGGTTTTGGGAGGGGGCGGATATGTTAAAAAAAAAAAAAAAATTTTGCTTCTGTGGGGATTCGAAAACTGGTCTCTTTTAATGAAATCAAGCGCACAACCAGTAGGAATCCCGTGTGCAACATGTTTAAGAATCAGATCCAAAGCTATAAATTGTTGTTTCTCATATTTGGGCCTTGTTGTGCAACTCTGATTCACAACAAAAAATAAAAACCCAACTAAACACGATTTTTTTTCTTTGTTTTCCAAATTTCGTAAAACACAACAGGAAACAAAAACAAGCAACAATACTAAACGGGCCCTAAGGATAGCTAGGCGCTCATCAGCTTCCACATTACCTTATATGCCCACACTCTTGCTGCTAACTCCTTCACCTAGACTTCTTCCCTCTAAGCATGACAGTGGTGATGACAAGAAAAGAGTTGAGCAACAGAGGCACTATGAAGTGGTGGATGGCTCTATCTCCTCGGCTCCTAGGGGATTCATTTCTCCCATCCCATTTATTTTCCCATACCAAAGAAACCCCCTCACCACCCATGTGTTCTCTACTGCTCATGTGTGGGAAATAGAAACTCATATATAGTGACACACCAAAAACCAGCCATTCAAATATTCATTGACCTTGTAGGATTCGGTTCTCTTGCTCCATCGCCAAGAGTGAAAGGTTGTGGCTAATTTGGATGGGTTTGGAATTATAGAATTTATCATGTTAAATTTAGCTATATGATGATGTGCTCTACATGTTTTAAACTCATCTCATTAACCCTATGAACGAATAGAAACTGTGACCAAGACTTAATTTGTAACCTACAAGATTTATGTATTAAGCGATTCGTAAGGTTGGGATATTACAGGCCGAGTACTGACGGACGGGGTTGGGAAAAGGTATTAGAGGGCCTGGTTCTGGGAAGTGGGCCGAGCTCTATAGCAATTTGTCGACCTTTTAACGAAACCTTTCTCTAGTGAAGTCGACTTCCAATTGGGTTGGGAAAGATGGTCTAACTAATTTGGGTCATCGTGTCTAAATAGAATACTGTGTTTGGAAAGGTGCAGTTTTTTTTGGTTCGGAGAACGAGGAAAGGTTCAGTTCAAATGCATGTACATAAAATTTATAATTTGGATATTTATTTGTAATTTATTAGTATTTTTAATTTATTAGTTTTTAGTTTTTAATTTTTTAATTTTTTGTCACATATCATAATTTTCATAAAATTATATTTAGTACCTTAATTATTTTTAACAATTTAGTACATAAATTTACCTCTTAAAAGATAAGGTCGGTAATTTACCTCTTAAAATTTTCCATTATAAAAAATAATTTGATGATAATATATTACATTTTTAGTATATTTATATGTTTTTTCTTGCATTACAGTACCTAAAATTTTAGAAACCTATCTAGTCTATTACTATGAAGATTTTCAAATCACTAGTTGTTGGTATGTATTTGACATATAAAGGCGGTACATTATCCAAACAAATTATTTCATATTTTGAATATCAGGTAAATTGCAAGGTTGGTCACTGAAAGTGTTAAATATTCACATTTGGTCACTAAAATAATTTTATTCCATTTGTGGTCACTGGAAGTGCTTAATATTTCACGATTGGTCACTCAGCGTTAGTCTCCGTTAACAAAATCTATTCTCTGCTGACGTGGCTAACAGAAAAGTCTAGTCACCTAATTTTAACAAGAAAAATTCAAAATTCGATCCGCCACGTCATAAAACACATTCCAACCCAACCCAACCCAACTCAACCTCTTCTTCCACTACTGACCTGTCTATTCATCTTCTTCACTGGCCATCTTAAGCCATCGCGAATTCATAAGGTCCGCCTCTACAGAGCCGACCCGATTATCATCAAATCCCTAGCCAATATGGGAATCAGAATCATACTCTCCCACCATTCTGAACACGTCGGCGCCTGCCATTTTGGGTGGGAGTGAGAATGAGAGTGTTCCTCGACTCCCTGGTATTGGATGAAATTCGCAGAGAAGGGAGGAAGAGGAAGAGCTCGAGAAGGAAGGAGATAGACTGAAACGAATGGCCCCTCAAATTTTAATGTGATTTGGTTGTTCTTAGGTCTGACCGGGTTATGGGTTGGGTTGGGAGAATCTGACGTGGCGGGTCGAATTGATGTGGCGAGTCAGGAATCTTTTTTTTGGGTTAAAATTAGGTGACCAGACTTTTCTCTTAGCCACGTCAGAAGATAACAGACTTTGTTCACGGAGAAGGACGGAGACCAATGGAGAGTGACCAGTCGTGAAACATTAAGCACTTCCAGTGATCACGAATGGAAAAAATTCTTTTAGTGATCAAACATGAATATTTTAGCACTTTCAGTGACCAACCTTGCAATCTACCCTTTGAATATCAAATTCCAAATACCAAATCAAATCTTCTATACAAACGCATCCTTAGACTAACCACAACCCCGACGACTAAAAATTTATGTTTTGTATTTAGTAATCCTAACTTATGAGTAGTTAAACTTATATTTTTTAATTTAGAATTTATATATTCATTCACGATAATTGAATACCAACATTCTAATAAAATTTTGAACAAATTCTGAGATACTTTGTTTTTAGTTGAAATGGAAGAAAGTTACACCGAAATGAAATTCATTCACTAAATTACCAAGATTTTAAACAATTTCGGAGATACTTTTTTTTCTAGTTGAAATGGAAGAACGTTCCAATTTTTTAATATAATTTTTTTGTCTTCAAATAGCCATCGAACGGTTGAAAGTTACAACGAAATGAATTTCGTTAGTTAAAAGCACTCACAACAACACAAGTATATTCAATTTAAGTACTAAAACAAAGAAGAGCTAAAATAGCCCCTAAAAACTACTTTTAGCCCTTTAGCTCCCCCTTTTAGATAATCCACAATGGTGGTAGGGAAAAGAGGGAAATTTGGGTGGGAAAATAGGGAAATGAGAGTTTGGGAAAGGGTTTGGTCACAATGGGTGGGAAGGGAAAATATGGTAATTGATAAGAGTTTTTTTTTTGCTGCCAAAATCAATTTAGTGTTGATCTCATCACTTTATTAAGATAATTTGTTCATAATTTTTATATAAGCAGTAATAATTAATTAAGATGAACATATCGATATAATTTTTTTTAATTTGGACATAATTTTTTTTATCACTAATTAAATATGACATCATCAATAACGAAATATATAGATGTTGGAAATAAGATTGTAGGAAATATTGCTGTAAAAAAATATGAATGTTGAAAATATGATTGTTAGCCAATAACATACTATAATCACTAATTAAAACAACTAAATCAATCAAAAAAGAAGAAGAAAACAAAAATTATGGGTCCCACCTACCCATTTTCCTTTTTCCCTCCTCCATTTGTCCTCTAATTAAAACATATCGATATAATTTTTTTTAATTTGGACATACTTTTTTTATCACTAATTAAATATGACGTCATCAATAACGAAAAATATAGATGTTGGAAATAAGATTGTAGGAAATATTGCTGTAAAAAAATATGAATGTTGAAAAATATGATTGTTAGCTAATAACATACTATAATCACTAATTAAAACAACTAAATCAATCAAAAAAGAAAAAGAAAACAAAAATCACGGGTCCCACCTACCCCTTTTCCTTTTTCCCTCCTCCATTTGTCCTCTAGTTAGAGCTGCAAACGAGCCGAGCTTGCGAAGCTTGTTGGGGCACTTTTTTGTAATTTACTGTTTGGCTAATATTTTTTAATTTAAATGGATTAGTCTCTTTCATTTGATGGACTAGCTTTGAAGGCTCCGACACCAAAGTTTTCAGCATATATTTTGATTCCAAATTGACATATCCTCATATAGTATTTTAATATTCTTGTCAAATAATTTGATACCAAACAAGTGATATGCATGGTTTTTCACGTAGTTTTTCTTTTCTTTAGTTTTTTGTTATATTTCTTATGAAAGGAGACAGTGACATGGATAATTTTTTGTTTTGCAGATAGATTTCAGTTTCCCTAACTAATTATTACTAAGTTTTAATTATTCATTAGTTTTTGTTTTATTTTAGTTAGACTAGTTATTATATCAGTAATTAATTCGATTTTTGAAACAACTTCCTCTAATGTTTCTGTAGTTCCGATACTCATTTGTTCGTCTACAATATCTGAGACAAAGTATGATAGTTCTAGTGTAACCTTAGTGATATCGTTTATTGTAGTAAGATCGATAGCGTCTATTCCTTCTATTATTTTATTTATATGGTGAGTATTAGGCATTATAGTATTTATATCTTATCTTTTCATTCTAAGATTAGTTCTTGTAGTTTCTTTATTTCACTATTGTCGTCATATTGATGAAGTATCGTAATATTTCTTATCTCTTCTTTTTCTTTTTGTTCTTCTTCTTTTAACTTGTTTGTTATTCTTCTAGAGGGATGTCGTTCGTCTATGCTAATTCTTGGATTACTATAGTATGATTTAATTATTTTTATAGGGGATTCTAAATGTATTAGTGGTTTAAATAAATCTTCTATGGTAATTACTTCTTTATCCTTGAATGTTAAACTATGATGACTATTGGTCAAAGCGTAGTTTATTTGATATTGTACTGAAAATGGTTTACTATTTTCTCTCATAAAATTGTCTCTTTTTAGTTCATATTTTATAATTATTGAGGAATCAAGATTTCCGTCTGTTAGACTTAAAACTTGTTGTAAATTAATATCAAATTTAATTATTCCTATTCCTAAAATTCCTTGTCCTTTTGCTATTATGCTTTCTTCATTGTTAATGAGACTATCATCTCTTATTTCTAGTTTTATTGGCGCACTTATTCCTGTTTTCATTGTTGATTTAAAAATAATTTGTATCGTAGTAATATGAATATAAGCTATTTTATTTCATCTTCCTGTTGTAGTTTTGATAACTTTTTTCTAATTTGTTCCTTATTTATTATTTGGATTAGAAAATCTCCTTTGGTCTGTTCTATTGGTATAGCTGTTTCTCCTATCATCTTTCCATATTTAATAATATTTTTTCTATCAAATAATTTAGATAAAAATGACTTAGTAATGAAATTTTGGGTTTCTGATAAAGTAAAATTAGTTTGCTCTTTTATTTTTTTTATATCTATGATACCATCTAAGAAATAATTTTCTTCTTCATTCTTGTTAAATAATCAAAATGATTTTTACTAGTACTAGGGTTGTCAGACATACCTGATTCTTGTTAGTTGAAATGGTTTGATTCCTTGTTGCTTAGCGTCTTCATGGTAATGCTATGTGAAGAATGCTGGAGATGATCGTTGGAGTTATGTTTAGGAATTTTTGTAGGTCTGATGGTTTTGTTGTGTCATGTGTGGTATTTTTGGTAGGGGATAAGTGTGTCTCCAGAGTATTACCTCAAACACTGAGTGCCTAAGCACCTCAAGACGAAGTCTTGGTTTTTGAGAGAAATCTCAACTCTACTCATTTATTCTCTGCCCTCCTTATGAGAAATATGAGAAATATTTATAGCAGGTCTTAGCCTGCTTCTATGTAAGAGCTTACATCACCTTCCAACAGGTGAGAAAACAAACAAACAACCTTTTATAAAGCTAGGTAGTTACATTTGTGCAGAGAAGTGATGGTATGAGCTTTCATCTTTTTTAGTGGAGTGACTATTCCTTGTCTTCTTCTCTTCCTTTTTGTTAGTGGGGTGAGTCATTCTTGATTCCCTGACTATTCCTCTCCATTATTGCTGCTAGTGGTGGTGATCATGTCTGTTGCATAGTTGATGCAGATATGGTCTTCGTGGAGCTACAATAACTCGCACAGTTGTCTCTTCTGTTCTGTTGGTAATGGGGCCAATGTTCCTTCTAGATTGATGAAATCTCTTGTAAAATTTGTAATTATATCCCATTCTTCATTGGTGAATTGTGCCTTGGAGTTGCTGATGATCACCTTATGTTCACTTCCGTAATTGACCTTGATATTATCCGTTGGTTTGATGTAATGGATTGCTTGGCATACTGAGAATAATGATTTCACCTGATGATCTTCTGGTATTTTAACTGTCTTCAATTCATCCCTTGTTGGATATTTTCCGTTTGAGACTCCCATTCTGATGAGGGCTTTTGATGGTATGATCATTTCTCCTTGGCTGAATACTGGATAGCTGGATGTATACTTTAGATAGATTTCTCTGTCTTTGGCAAAGAATTTCAGATAGTTTTGAACAACCATCTTGAATTTAATGGGGAATTCGTCGAGGATGTCAATTTTTCTGGTGTAAATGGTATCCAATCACCCATATTGGTGGAGAGCGAATACCATTGCTGGTGAGGCTTCTTCTGTGACTACCGCTTTTGGTCCTCCGTTGAATGTTGGATAAAAACCCATGGTAGTATGTATTTCTTCATAGTTGATAAGATCATTCCAACATTGTTGGAATTTCTGTATTGTAGGTTTTTTGGCTTCTTCTTTTTCCTTTGTGGTCTGGATATTCCTAATGTTAATACCAGGAATCTTCATTACTAGTCGTTGTTGTGGAACGACCAGCTCATTTGTTTTCTTCATAATAAGAGCTTTGTATGATTCGTCAAGTGCTTGATCTACTTCCTCCTTAGTTATGAATGACTGATGTTTAACATTATGACCGATAATATGCTGAGCAGCTATTGCCCAATTGGTATCAACTCCTCGAAATGGTCCATCATAGATGACATACCATTTTCCTTTCTTTGACTTTCTTTCATCCTCTTCATATTTTTCATCTTCTTCTACCAGATCTGCCAATTTTGTGGAAGATGATGCTGATTTCTCTTGTTGTATTTCTGGCTGAGTTTTTCCATTGATTTGTTGTTGCAGAATGTTGATGGTGGTTTTGAGCTGTTCTAGTTCCCCCCCCCCCCCCCCCCTTAGAGAAAGCTGAGTTTCAAGAGATCGTATTTGTTCTTCCTTTTGTTGTTGCTGATTCAGCATCTGCTTGATTATTCCCTCCATTCTCTTGTAAGGGTGTCGGCCAGAGGGTTGGCTGTTGACTTAATATACTTCAGATATGGCTTGTAATAGTGTAGCTATTGCTGCTAGCGGATTAATCTTTCCTTTGTTAAAGTCTGCTTCAAGTTTGTATCTCCAAAAACCTGTAACATATTTAGAATATGTTCGTAACTCAAATCTGCTTGTTAACAATTCGAGTTTCCATTTCTTCAATGTCCTGAGACAAGCTAGTGTTTCTAGCTCATGAATTGGATAGTTCTTCTCTCTATCACAGAATGTTCCTGAAATATATTTACATACCTTTTTTGGATACTTGTATGTATTAAAAGGTATTGAGTAGTCTGTAGAATCTTTCGATTCTTTAGATAGTAATTTATCATTGTGGTTGGTAGATGAATCATTTGATTCATTTTTAGATAGTAAATTGCCATAGTGATCAAGAGATAGTAATTTCTTTCCTTCGGGAATTGCGAGCATGCAACCTGCCCATGTATCCTTGGATGCATCTGTTTCAACTATGAGAAAATCAGGATCACATGGGTTATATAATTTAGGTAAATGATCACAATTAGCCTTCATGAATTTTACTACTTCTGTATCTTTATCTTCCCATTTCCAAGGTATCTTGTCTGATATCTTTTGCTGAAGGTGTTTTCGTTCCTTTGCTAAGTTTTTTAGAAATCCTTGTCGCTAATATAATTTAAACTTCGTAAAAATCTTTGTATTTGTTTTCTATTTTCCATTCTATCGGGAGATTTATCTAGTTTTTCTTTAACATTTGTTGTTAATTCTATTTCGCCTGTACTATTTATTTTTAGTCCTAGATATTCAATTTCATTAACTAGTAGTTTTGATTTCTTTTTTGAAATTATTAGTCCTTTTTCATTTATTCTTTCTAATACTTTGATTAGTTTTTCTTCGTGATCTCTCCTATCTTTATTTGAGAAGATAATGATATCGTCAATATATGCTAGGCAAAAGTCTTGTAATCCTTCTAAATTTTTATCCATAAATCTTTGATAAATTCCTGGTGTCCATTTAAGTCCGAATGGTACGACATTCCACTCATAGTGTTTTTGAGGTGGACATGAAAAAGCTGTTAATGGCTTTGTGTTTTCATGTAGACGTAATTGCCAATATCCTGATTTAGCATCTAAACTACTAAACCACGTTTGACCCTTTAATCGTTCTAATATATAGTCTTTTCTAGGTAGTTTATAACTATCTCCTACTATTTTTTCATTTAATTTTTTATAATTTATTACCATACGTCTCTTCCTCTTTTTAACTCGTTATTATTTTCTACATAAAACACTAGAGCGCTATAAGGGCTCTTACTTTCCCTAATGATATTTTTATTGAGTAACTCTTTACATTCTTCTTGAAATTCTTCTACATCTCTTTGTGTATATTGAATTTTATTGGGGACATTAACTTCTATATTTGGATCTTTAAGTTTGATTTCTATTAATTCTGAATTTGTATTTTTTATACTATCTAATGGGTGTTCACTACATACTTCTAGTTTTTCTTCAACTATTCCATAAGCTATCTGGATATATTCAAGCCTATTATTTAATTTTTTTAGAACGATTTTCAATACTTCATTTTTTGTTATAATTTTAGTTGTAACGATTTTGGACTCTTGGTTTTTCATTCTGGGTGCTCGTAGACTAATATTTTTAATTCTTTGGGTAAAAGGTTGATATAACTTAAGGACATTATTTCCTATTATCATATCTAACCCTGAATCATGTAAATATATCGTTTTAGCAGTAAAAACGTATTGTTCTATAATGATGGGTACATAATTTTTTACATACCAAATCTCGTGTATCGATTTATCTGCGACTACAATTTTTAGAGGTTTGTCTAATTTTTCCCAATTTCTAATGGTTGCCCTTTTTGCAAAACAAAGTGTTGCTCCTGTATCTATATATGCTAGAAAATCTTTGCTTTCAATATTGACTTTTATAAATGTTGCATTTGGATTACTTTTAGTTAGTATCTTCTTCTGACTCATCTGAAGATACCTGTAAGTCTGTAATATATTCAATTATATCTATATCTGATGTTTCCAAGTCTGTTTCCTCTATAGGTTCAAATCCGCAATCGAAGGCTATTCTTATCACTTCTTGTTTCTTATTATTAACGTTTCTCTTTGGACATTTATTAGCATAATGTCCTTCTTCATTACAAAGCCAACATCTACAATTTGGTTTGCCTTTAGGACTATAATCTTTATTTCTTGTTTTTTGTTTATATTATTTTCTATTTCTGAAATATTTATTAGGATTACTATACTTATTTTTTCTATATTCTTTATAAGGTATTTTTCGCCATTTTTTATACTTTTCGTATTTTTTGTTTTTCTTTATCCTTTGGTTTTCATTGTTACATCCGTATTTTCCTATTTTATCTGAGAAATCTTCACAACAAAGATCAATTTTTGCTTGTTTTTCAACTTTTCTTCGTTACATGCTCTTTTATGCCATTCTTGTAATGTTAAAATTCGTCCTCCTAAAGTATCTTGTACTTCTTCTTTCTGAACTGCTTCGTTGAAGACAGTTTCTACTTTTTCTGATACTATTAGTGGTAATTTAGAAAAGAATAATTTATCCAAGTCTTTTCGTGCTGTTGGAATAACTTGATAGTAATGTATTTTGAATTCACAAATGAATGATTCTAGATAACACATATTACAGATTCTTAAATTTGTTAAGTTCCAAATAGCTTGATTACTCAATGTTGCATTGTTTTCTCTCTCTCTTGGATATCTTCCGAGGAATTCATAGGTTAAGGCATTTAATATTTTTTCAAAAGTTTTTATGGCATCATCTCCGTAAAGAAATGTTTTTGTAGGAATATCCATTGTACTTAGGTAGTGATAAACTGCTCCAGTAGTTTTATATATTATGAAATTAAATATTTCACTAGGCTGTAATTTCTTTAAATCGTCATTAGTTTGAATTAATAGTCATGTTCGATTTTTCCAATATTCTAATTCTTTTAATGGATTAGTACTACAATCAATATCTAAAATATCTGGACTATTATAACTTGTTGTAGAATATTTTGGAATATATGAGTGGGGAATTTTAGTCCATCCTCCCTCCCTACGAGGAGCATAATAATTTTTATAAAGATATTCATCGAAAGATATTTGTCCATCGTTGTATTTATTAAATCTTCGCTTATATGTTTTTGATGGAATTGGTTGAGTTTTCTCCTTTTGCCGTAGTATGAAAAGGATTGTTTTCTAGTTTTGACATAATTTGTATAAGGATTTTCGTCACTACTATAATCTAAAACTACTTTTTCATTCTCGATATTTTCTTCATTTTCGGACTCAATGCTTAAGGCCATTAGTAAATCATTTAGTTTGTTAATATTTTCGTCAATAGTTGTCATAATGTATAAGGTGCAACAATAGTTAATTTTCCAGAATTCTTATGATTTTCAAAACATCTTTTTCATATCTTCGATAGTAAGGTATCGTGTATATT